TCGAAACAGTGATGAAATCAGCAATAAAGAAAAGAGGTATCTCTATTCATCATGTGCGCGAGTGACACACTGAAAATAAATTTCTAGGAAAATTCATGTGCTAGTAGCATAAACGAGTCACAATTTGTATACTCGGAAAAATTATTGTGTAGCACCAGAATAATTGCCATGCTACATCAGCAAAATTATGTAGCATCAAAAAAATGATGCTTATAATTCTTAGCATATGAATTTTTTAAGAAAATCCACCTCCGTGTACGAATATAATTCTGGAGCAGCACAGGAGAAATTTAGTGTTGTCATAGTAAAATTTCTTAAGGGTATAAGGCGGGGTACGTAGCTGGAAAAAAAAAAGCAGAGAATTCAATGAAAATTGCTGAACAGATTATTCGATCCATTTGAAAGTCATGTGCAAAATGTCAAGACCCCTACGTAAACAATAATAATGGGAATAATTTTTGAAGTTGCTACTTATACACGCAGTTGAATGGGGCATCGGTAATTTTTGTGAATTCCCTACGTTATCGATAGATCAATAGCGTAGGAAATTCTGGGCAGTCCATCTGCCTATAGGGAACCCAAATCTCCTCAGGAATCGAATGGAATAGGTTTTAAGGCTCTATCTCTCATAGTTTCCGAGATAATCGCGAAAAACGAAAATGCCAAAAAAAATTAATTTAATTCATCTTGTATAGGGTGTAGGAAGTGGAAAAACGCAATTCTGAGCCGTCCATCTGCCTATACGGAACCCAAATTTCCTCAGGAATCGAATGGAATAGGTTTTAAGGCTCTATCTCTCATAGTTTCCGAGATAATCGCGAAAAACGAAAATGCCAAAAAAAATTAATTTAATTCATCTTGTATAGGGTGTAGGAAGTGGAAAAACGCAATTCTGAGCCGTCCATCTGCCTATACGGAACCCAAATTTCCTCAGGAATCGAATGGAATAGGTTTTAAGGCTCTATCTCTCATAGTTTCCGAGATAATCGCGAAAAACGAAAATGCCAAAAAAAATTAATTTAATTCATCTTGTATAGGGTGTAGGAAGTGGAAAAACGCAATTCTGAGCCGTCCATCTGCCTATACGGAACCCAAATTTCCTCAGGAATCGAATGGAATAGGTTTTAAGGCTCTATCTCTCATAGTTTCCGAGATAATCGCGAAAAACGAAAATGCCAAAAAAAATTAATTTAATTCATCTTGTATAGGGTGTAGGAAGTGGAAAAACGCAATTCTGAGCCGTCCATCTGCCTATACGGAACCCAAATTTCCTCAGGAATCGAATGGAATAGGTTTTAAGGCTCTATCTCTCATAGTTTCCGAGATAATCGCGAAAAACGAAAATGCCAAAAAAAATTAATTTAATTCATCTTGTATAGGGTGTAGGAAGTGGAAAAACGCAATTCTGAGCCGTCCATCTGCCTATACGGAACCCAAATTTCCTCAGGAATCGAATGGAATAGGTTTTAAGGCTCTATCTCTCATAGTTTCCGAGATAATCGCGAAAAACGAAAATGCCAAAAAAAATTAATTTAATTCATCTTGTATAGGGTGTAGGAAGTGGAAAAACGCAATTCTGAGCCGTCCATCTGCCTATACGGAACCCAAATTTCCTCAGGAATCGAATGGAATAGGTTTTAAGGCTCTATCTCTCATAGTTTCCGAGATAATCGCGAAAAACGAAAATGCCAAAAAAAATTAATTTAATTCATCTTGTATAGGGTGTAGGAAGTGGAAAAACGCAATTCTGAGCCGTCCATCTGCCTATACGGAACCCAAATTTCCTCAGGAATCGAATGGAATAGGTTTTAAGGCTCTATCTCTCATAGTTTCCGAGATAATCGCGAAAAACGAAAATGCCAAAAAAAATTAATTTAATTCATCTTGTATAGGGTGTAGGAAGTGGAAAAACGCAATTCTGAGCCGTCCATCTGCCTATACGGAACCCAAATTTCCTCAGGAATCGAATGGAATAGGTTTTAAGGCTCTATCTCTCATAGTTTCCGAGATAATCGCGAAAAACGAAAATGCCAAAAAAAATTAATTTAATTCATCTTGTATAGGGTGTAGGAAGTGGAAAAACGCAATTCTGAGCCGTCCATCTGCCTATACGGAACCCAAATTTCCTCAGGAATCGAATGGAATAGGTTTTAAGGCTCTATCTCTCATAGTTTCCGAGATAATCGCGAAAAACGAAAATGCCAAAAAAAATTAATTTAATTCATCTTGTATAGGGTGTAGGAAGTGGAAAAACGCAATTCTGAGCCGTCCATCTGCCTATACGGAACCCAAATTTCCTCAGGAATCGAATGGAATAGGTTTTAAGGCTCTATCTCTCATAGTTTCCGAGATAATCGCGAAAAACGAAAATGCCAAAAAAAATTAATTTAATTCATCTTGTATAGGGTGTAGGAAGTGGAAAAACGCAATTCTGAGCCGTCCATCTGCCTATACGGAACCCAAATTTCCTCAGGAATCGAATGGAATAGGTTTTAAGGCTCTATCTCTCATAGTTTCCGAGATAATCGCGAAAAACGAAAATGCCAAAAAAAATTAATTTAATTCATCTTGTATAGGGTGTAGGAAGTGGAAAAACGCAATTCTGAGCCGTCCATCTGCCTATACGGAACCCAAATTTCCTCAGGAATCGAATGGAATAGGTTTTAAGGCTCTATCTCTCATAGTTTCCGAGATAATCGCGAAAAACGAAAATGCCAAAAAAAATTAATTTAATTCATCTTGTATAGGGTGTAGGAAGTGGAAAAACGCAATTCTGAGCCGTCCATCTGCCTATACGGAACCCAAATTTCCTCAGGAATCGAATGGAATAGGTTTTAAGGCTCTATCTCTCATAGTTTCCGAGATAATCGCGAAAAACGAAAATGCCAAAAAAAATTAATTTAATTCATCTTGTATAGGGTGTAGGAAGTGGAAAAACGCAATTCTGAGCCGTCCATCTGCCTATACGGAACCCAAATTTCCTCAGGAATCGAATGGAATAGGTTTTAAGGCTCTATCTCTCATAGTTTCCGAGATAATCGCGAAAAACGAAAATGCCAAAAAAAATTAATTTAATTCATCTTGTATAGGGTGTAGGAAGTGGAAAAACGCAATTCTGAGCCGTCCATCTGCCTATACGGAACCCAAATTTCCTCAGGAATCGAATGGAATAGGTTTTAAGGCTCTATCTCTCATAGTTTCCGAGATAATCGCGAAAAACGAAAATGCCAAAAAAAATTAATTTAATTCATCTTGTATAGGGTGTAGGAAGTGGAAAAACGCAATTCTGAGCCGTCCATCTGCCTATACGGAACCCAAATTTCCTCAGGAATCGAATGGAATAGGTTTTAAGGCTCTATCTCTCATAGTTTCCGAGATAATCGCGAAAAACGAAAATGCCAAAAAAAATTAATTTAATTCATCTTGTATAGGGTGTAGGAAGTGGAAAAACGCAATTCTGAGCCGTCCATCTGCCTATACGGAACCCAAATTTCCTCAGGAATCGAATGGAATAGGTTTTAAGGCTCTATCTCTCATAGTTTCCGAGATAATCGCGAAAAACGAAAATGCCAAAAAAAATTAATTTAATTCATCTTGTATAGGGTGTAGGAAGTGGAAAAACGCAATTCTGAGCCGTCCATCTGCCTATACGGAACCCAAATTTCCTCAGGAATCGAATGGAATAGGTTTTAAGGCTCTATCTCTCATAGTTTCCGAGATAATCGCGAAAAACGAAAATGCCAAAAAAAATTAATTTAATTCATCTTGTATAGGGTGTAGGAAGTGGAAAAACGCAATTCTGAGCCGTCCATCTGCCTATACGGAACCCAAATTTCCTCAGGAATCGAATGGAATAGGTTTTAAGGCTCTATCTCTCATAGTTTCCGAGATAATCGCGAAAAACGAAAGTGCCAAAAAAAAATAATTTAATTCACCTTCTATAGGGTGTAGGAACTGGAAAAATGCAATTCTGAGCCGTCCATCTCCCTATAGGGAACCCAAATTTGGTTTTAAAGCTCTATCTCTCATAGTTTCCGAGATAATCGCGAAAAACCAAATCACCAAAAAAAAATAAGTTAATTTATTTTATATAAGGTGTAGGAAGTGGACAAGCGTAATTCTGAGCCATCCATTTGCCTACAGGGAACTCAAATTTCCTCAGGAATCGAATGGAATTGGTTTTAAGGCGCTATCTCTCATAGTTAATTGATGGTGAATTTAATTCGCAGGCGAATGGTGAAAAGTCACTGTGCGCCGCGAAACAATTATTTTTCTTACTAGCCCATAACTTTCACGGCAGTTTTTATTTTTTTGTTGTAGAGATTAAGCGATGAAAGAGGGTCAGTTGATAGGGAATTTAATGCTCCGTCGAACAGCCTTTTTTCATCCCTTAATCTCAATTAGGAGGGGAGAGGTGAATTTTTAATTCGCGGGCGAATGGTGAAAAGTCTGTGTGCGCCGATAAGAAAATTATTTTTCTCACTGGCCCATGACTTTCGTTGTAGTTTGTATTTTTTTGTTACAGAGATTGAGGGATGCAACGGGGATCCATTGATGGGGAATTTAATTCTCCATCACTCCGTCTGTGTTTCATTCCTTAATATTACATAGCCAGTAAATGAGTCACCTGAAAGAAGAACATGTTGACGACGAGGATGGCATAAGTTCCCTTCCGAAAGTATCCCGGTGACAGCAGTATTGCTACTGCCGAGTTACCGGCACAGGCAGCTCGCCCAGCCGTCAGATTCGACCGTGGCGCCATCCCTTCGTTGGGGTGATACGATTTTTGGCTTGGAGTCGCCTGAACCCCGAGATCTGAGCCCTCTTTGTCAGCATTTCCACCACTGCCGCCACCTGCATGGCGTCCCCACAACCTTCTCACGCTGGTGTGTAAGACAAGCCACCAACCGTTTCCATCTCTCTCGCAGCCCCCCGGAGCCCATTTGTACTACTCATTCCCAAAATATACCTGCAATTCCGTACGAACCGAGTAAAAAACATTAATTGTCGTGTGCCCACCCACCAAGATGGCTCCGCTGCTGGAGCAGTACTCGATATTTGACGTTCAACTTATTTACATACTTTCATCATTAAACTCAACATCCAAACAATAGTCATCCGCAATTTAATCTCATCAAGTACGAAAATTGTCATTTCAATATGTGTGCGAGTGTTAACCAGTCAAGATACACCGGTTGTTTGAAAGTGGATTGATTATTAACAAAAGTGACGGCCGGCTGGCGTGCCAGACAGGTCAGTATAGTAATATCGAACTCCGAAGCATCATTTTCTCATTTCTCATTTCCAGAATTGAGAACTCGAGTGAAATCATGGGAATGGGGCGAAATGTTGGTAAAAATTGACTCTCCAGCGAGTTGTTCTCTCGGTGATTTTGTCAGTGAATTTCACTCGCGTTATTCAACGTCCACGCTTGTGTACAATGCATATTGATCTATTCATACTCGTCATTTTTTTACTTCATTCAATTTTCCCATTCATGAATTATTGAATGATGTGGGGAATAAGACTAAATGTTCTTTCGTTTATTCAAGTTGCTTCGGTTTTTTTTCTGCATGGGGTACAGCTTTTTGGTCGTATTTGCCTGCGTTCGATCACTCTGAGCTTGACACATTGGTTTTTCCATTGTTGTGACAGATATCCGTGCATTATTAACCTAATGTGGACTACCGTGCTCAATCAATAAATTTTTCTCGGGAGGACAAGTGACGGAAAAGTTTCCGAAACTCGTGGTGGCGAAAATGAATTGATAATACGTAGCGAGTGCATTTTTCACATGTTAAATGGGGGTCAGTTCGATATTTTTGGGGGATTCTGTGGCGAGTTTCGAGCAGAGGTTTTTTTCATTTTTCCAGTCCCGAAAAATGTCTCGTGTTATATTGCCCTTTGACTTTTTTTTACACTTTTAAAAAATTACTCTTGAAAGTTCAAGCGAAAAAGCTTGATATTTTTAACACAAAGGTACATGAAATTCCTGTATATTTTCTCATTGACTAATCAGTTAATTTCTTGAATATTCAAGTTATTCTCGATTTGCAGGCCCATACGGCACTGAAAAATACTGAAAATTTTGAAAATTTAGGCAACAACTTTTCTGAATTCTCAATCTGTTGAAAATTGAATTCTATGTTATGTTCAATTTTCAGAATGAGTTTCGAAATTCAAGTGTTCATTGGAAAATCAATGATTGTTTAATATGAAAAATTCTATTTTTTTGAGTTTTCAAGATTAATGAGAACTTTTATGAATGTTTTCACATCGAGAACATCGAGAATTCAGATGACATTGTGACTGAAATTTCAAGAACTTTCTAACAGTGTAGTAGTTCTAGACATTTTTCGTAATTAATTTGTTTGAAATTTAAAGAATGTTGTGGGGATACTGCAAATTGTAAAAGACTTTATTTGCAGTCGATTAAATTCTCTACAAATTTTATGTAGATTGCAGATTTCTTTAGATTCATAATAAAATTCTTCTTGGGGACTAGCTTTTGGAATTTATGCGAGTAAAAAAAATGCAGTGATTATAGGGAAAAATTTTAATTTTAAATTGAAAATTTTTCTAAATAATCTGCAAGAAATTTTGGAGCATCCATATAACATTTTCATCTCATGGGACCATAGTAATAAATGTCTAGAGATGTCTCCCATGCTCCGGAGATACAAATTTTTAAATTAAAAAAATTAAAAATGATACATTCCTTATACTTCCTTTCAAATTTAATTTTTAATTTTAAATTAAAAATTTTTCCTTACAAGCTATAATAAACTTCTGGAGATAAAAATGTTGTATGGATGCGCCAAAATTTCCAAATATTTTCGAAGCGAGTGGTTATAGAGACGAACGGTAAAAGACCTGATTTATAGCCGATTAGATTCCCTACAAAAAAGTGTCTTCAGATTGATAATACAATTCTTTTTGGAGACTTTTAAAATTTATGCAAGTTCAAAACTAAATTGCAGAATTACAGATTGTTTTCGGAGCAAGTGGTTGTAGAGAAAAATTTTAATAGACCTTTTTGTAGCCAGTGAAATTTCTTACAAGAAAGGTATTTTCAAATTTTGGATGTTAATGGAAACTGATTCCTTGGGGATTCGTTTTTTCAATTTATCAATTTTCAAATATCTCTGGAGCGAGTGGCTGTAGAGAAAAATGTCGAAAGACTTTTTACATGGCCGATGAAATTTTCTGAAAAAAGTTTCACATTTTATCTCAAAACTGCTCACTTCGGAGGTAATCAATATTAATCCAGTGGGGATTCATGTTCCTAATTCATCCAAGGTTAAGACATCTTTGCAGATTATTTTGGAAATGTCTCCGGAGCAACTGATCATAGTAATAAATATCTATAAATAAAAAAGGTGTCTTCGCATTTTCTCCCAAAAATATTCATTTGGGATATAATGTTGATTAATTTTTCGAGGATTAATTTTTTAATGTATCCAGATTCTAAACATCCTCGCAATTTTTTTTACCAAGATCGCTTTATCAAAATATTAAATTGATTGAATACTTTGAAATTTTACAAAATTATACAGCCAACTATTATATTTAAAAAATTGTGTATATATAGCATGTATAAGGGAATTGTTCGCACGCATAGATGTACATATACGCGACATGTGCGTAGTACATTCATATTATCATTTCGAGCACTCATACTTTCAAATTACTATCATTGAGGAAAATTGCGATGACTTCCATACATTTGTAATGTAGGTCTTTCAGGATAGTTCGGCTAGAATACGGAATTACACATATCTCTGAAGCAAGTGAGTCCCTTTTACAAAAATACAGATAAAACTCACAAAACCTGTTCTCATAGACATGAAAATTGCCTACGAAAATGGTCGTTTATGAATCTATCTTAAAACTGCGCATTTCGGTGATCATTTTTATAATTAGCAGAGACTCTAATCCTTTGGTTTTCGTATCTGTTGATCGTTGTCATTCTCTCGTTGACGTGTGGTGGTCGGAGAAATAATAAAAAAAACCTTCGTGTAGCAATTGACATTCCCTAGCTAAAGTCTTTTGATATTTTCTCCTGGAATGATACAGAGTTGAGCAGCAATACGGATATTAATGACTTTTTTTATGGTAATAGTTCCGGAACTAATTCATCAATTGACTTCAGTCTAGCCTCATCGCAGGAATAAGAGTGTATTTCCCATTGAAAAAAATTATTTCGTCTCGTTTATGGATTCCATGAGTGACGAACATTTTCCAATTTAAATTCATAAAGTGTTCATCCGGCTCTGATCACTGTTTCTTCATCATTCCATTATGAAATAACTGAAACTATATTTTTGATATAGTGGGAATGAACGAATGAATGAAAAAATGAGTTTCGTATTGATGTGTTGGAGGTGCAATTTCCTGACCATGATTTTCTACAAATATACGTAAGATTACGAGTGACTTATTTTTCCAACTGCTTGCATCGATATTAACATTTCTTTTTTAGGAAGGAATCATTTTAGAATTAACTCCAGATTTCCTCGAATTTTCATGCCTTTTTATGTGTTTTTTTCTATTAAAGAATTAACATCTCAAATAGTTAACAATTCAATAGACATGGATTGTAATTCATTTTTTGTTTGTTTTAGTGCATTTATTGCATGTTGCTGTCATTGCTCCATTTCCATTAATGCAATGATTTACATAAAATCTTAAGTATAACAGAAGAAACGAGAGAATTTCCCGTTGGCTGAAGCAGCAATTTTTCTTTATTCCAGATTAAACAGTGCCATTCCAGACTAACGTTGCTCATAGTCGTGATAAACATATTTAAATTCATTAAAAAATACCAGAATAATTAACGATAAAGTCCGTAATTTTAATACACCATTCTAATTTATAATTCTGAATAGTAAACACCAAATGCAACGAATGTTTTTTATACATAACAGTGAGGATTGAGGTAACGTGAGGTTTAGTGATTTCTGTTGTGATAAATAATTGAAGATGCGACGGAATATTGGAGTTAAATAAACTTCATTCGGTGATTTCTGAGGAGGCAGTGAGGGCAATTGGCAAAGATGTTGCCAAAGGGGGACTTTGATCATTTTTATACAACGTGTTAATTCGCGGTAGAACGACCAAAGATACTAAACAGAACTCTCTAATTATTCAGAAGAAAGTGTAACAAGGGCACTTATTGTGTCCAATGTTAATGGAAACCTCAAGGTCACTCTGATCGCTAATTCTGAAGTAGAGTTTTGAAATAAAATATTGGAAGAAGACGACTTTCGGGGAAAAGTCCAATTAATTGATTGAATACGTTCGCGGCTATTGGATTTTCGGTGATTTTGGAAATTTAACTTTGCAAAAATGGCTCGAAAGAACGATAACTTGAAGGGGATTAACGTGGCTGTCGTTGGCCTGTCTGGCACTGAGAAGGACAAAGGACAGGTTGGCGTTGGTAAATCATGTCTGTGCAATAGATTCATGAGATCACTCAGCGATGATTACAGCGTTGACCATATTTCAGTACTGTCACAGGTAAAAATGACTTATCTATTCATTTATTAGAAATGTAATTTATGCTAAAACGTAATGAATAGAAAATGTTGTAAAATTTTCTTCTGGTTGTTTTGGCGATATTTTTGAGAGGAAGAGACATTTTTTCTATTTTCTTCCGGGAAAATTAGTTTTGGAAATATTAGCAGACTAATGCGCGATCATTTCCGAGACTTCAACATAAAACGTAAAGAATTCCGTGGAGATTATTTTCTAAGGAAATGTTTAAAAAACTTTTTGAAGCTGAGGAATGAATTTTTCATGGATTTCGTTTCCGCGGGTTTTCTGTGCTTTTTTTACAATAGAAAATGTTGGAAGGACATTATTTTACAGAAAAAGTCAACATTTGATTTTTCTATGCAACTTATTCTGAAATATTTTTTGGAGAAATTCGTTTGCCTAAATCTTTCAAGTTTTTTGGTTTGATTTTTATTGAGAGAAGAGAAAAGTGAAGAGGAATTTCTATAGAAAATATCTAAAAGTAAGTTGTATAGAAAGATCAAATTCTATTGACCTTCTTCTAAAAAATAATTTCTGCTGAATGTTTTCGATTGGAAAAAGACGCAGAAAAGTTGCTGAATATTTCATAGAATCGCTGAAAAACTAATTATACAATTCAATTAATTTATTTCCTTGATAGTACAAAAGTTTTTTCTGTTTTTCATCAGTACCAGCCTATCGAAAAACTAATCAATTTTCAATAGAATTTCAATAGAAATCCAATAGAATATCCCACCGAATTTGTGTGAATTTCCATTATAAAAAATCCAATGTAAAGTTTTTTGTCACCGGTTTATTCGGATATATATGTGGAAGTCCGTATGAAAAGGGACCACTTTGTCGATATGGTGTTATGTATACTCTGATAATATTGATAACATTCCGCACATTTTGAGCCCAAAATGATCTTCATAGGGTCAAAAATTATGTCGTTGGAGAAGATGGAAAACACAATTTAACATTAGTGCAAATGGAAGTTGCTGACACAAAAACGTGAATATCTCGGAAACTAGAATCGACAAAGTGGCCCTTTTTCACGTGAACGTCTACATATATGCATATATATATATTCTTTTTTTCTAAATACAATAAAACGAAATGAAAAATCATATTATAGGGCCACATGCAAAACCATACACGCGCATAGCGCGCGTACGTCTCTAGTTTTATTAAATTTTTTCATGCATATTATGAAAGTCTCCTGACATGCCATTCCAAAGAGAGTAATTTTTAAAAAATTACGTCAATTATTTTGAAAATATCTCCGCAGCTAAAGAAAAAAAGTCTCACCGTTTTCATCTGATCCTTTTAAAGGGAGATTACTTGTGAGTTGTAAAAGTCGTGGGATATTGGAGTGAGAGATTGCTCATGCATTGAAAATCGATTATATATGTCTAAATTTAAATTTAGACATTTAATTTAATTTAGAGATTTTGCGAATACTTATTACAAAAAAATCAATTGTTTACTAACTGGTCATTATTTCCTTGGCCACCTGGTGTATTTTTCGGACTATTTTACATGAATGTTGCAATTTTTCATTAAAATAATAACGAAATTAGCTGTGTAGGAGATGCATTTCAAAAACCCTAATTCGTAATTGTTATTGCACATATTTTTCCAAAAAAATTTAAAAAAGAAAGACCTCTGTAGCTCAAATATTGGAGTCCCCAGTGTATTTTTAACATTTTAAGCATTTGCGGGGTAAATGAACATTGAACAATTGTTTTTTTTGCGCTAATTATTCGTTTTTAGACATGTATAATCGATCTTCACTGTAGGAGAAAACTCATTCCAATAGCCGGCGGCTATTAAAGCTCATAGTAACCTCCCCTTAATATCAAAGATATCTACAAAATAATTTGTACCAACTTTACGTTCTACACCATCCAATCACAAAGGCCATTCTGATATCATTAAAACTTCAACATGTTAATACCGTAATTAAAAATTTCGATTACAGTCGGATTTTAGTGGTCGTGTAGTGAACAACGATCACTTCCTCTACTGGGGTGAAGTGATTAAAGCAGCTGAAGATGGTACAGAGTATAACTTTCAAGTGATAGAGCACACAGAGTTCATAGACGATGCTTCATTTCAACCATTCAAGGGTGGTAAAATGGAGCCATACGCAAAGAGATGCTCAGGAACAAAGATAACGAGCGCTGAAAAACTCATGTACATTTGTAAGAATCAGCTTGGAATTGAAAAAGAATATGAGCAAAAAGTATTGCCTGATGGTAAATTAAACATCGATGGTTTTTTATGTGTATTTGATGTGAGTGTCGTACCAAATCGTACAATCGAAAAGCAAATTGAGATTGTAGCTAATATACTTAATAATTTGATTAAAACTAAAAAACCAGTTGTACTTGTTACAACGAAGAATGATGATGCTAATGAGCAATATGTCAAGGAGGCTGAGAAATTGATAATGAGAAAGGAGTACAAAAATTCAATAGTTGTTGTTGAAACATCAGCACACGAGAATATTAACATCGACAATGCATTTCTAGTCTTGGCACAAATTATTGATAAAACGAAAATGAGGAGTAAGGTTGTACCATTTGCCGAGGCAGCTAGGGCACGCAAGGAACTGTTGGATGCATCGACAGAGTCACTTCAGAGATTAATCAGAATACATGTGACGGATTATCGAGCACTCTGGTCTCAAGCATCCAAGAAACTGGGACAACACAAAGAATTTCAGAACTTTGTGGAGTTGTTCGGAATCGATGCTACGCAGAGATTGTTTAGACGACATATTAAGAAACTTAAGGATGAACAGGTGGCCAAGAAGATTCAGGGATACTTGGATATGCTGCCGGAGATTCTTCACGAGATCTGTCCTGATATTTCGAGTCTTATTAATGAGTGAGTTGATTTTCCTTTTGTCTATTTACTTTATCTTATTCTGGATTTTTTGTGGGAATTTGTGAAGAATTTGGGTGTTCGGTATTGAGATGAACATGAAGTTGAGAAGACGAAATATTGACGCATAAAAATTATCTTCTTGAACACGTCAGTATAGATAAAAAGATTCTAGATTTCAATGAAAATCTAGGCAATTCAGACTTCTGCACTGAGAAAAAGTTCTTTGAAACACGTCTTGACTCGTATCAAGAAACTTATGGCTCGAAAATTGATAACGAAAAAATGTCTTACACTGAGGACAAATAACTTTCGTCGCGAAATTTTTGTATCGAAATATTTTGGATGTGAGGGTAAAAAGTTGATGAATAGATTGATTCAACTAGACTCGGTTTGAGAAATCACTTTCTTGTTATAAATAAATTATCTTTGTTTTTGGGACAAGTAGAAAATCTCCTGACGAAATTTTTTTTTCGTTAGTGAAAGATATTTTATTGTTCATTTTTGAGCCATGAGTTTCTTGATGCAAGTAAAGATGTACTTTTCCAAAAATGTTTGTTTTCTCATTCAGAAATAAGGCAAAATGAACTTATTTTAAGAAAATTTCCCTAAGAATGAGAGAAAAAAGTTTTAATTGTCATTCATTTTTACTTGAATCGATTATAATTGTTCTTATTAAGGAAGATTTTCTCTGTTAATTGGAAAATATTGATTCTGGAACTCGGAATTTTTTTTTTTAATAAGAAGTTCTTGAATCGAGAAAAAATTCTCGTTCTTGAATTAATGAATTTTCCTGTTTTAAATCTAATCTGTTTATAGTTTTAATTTTTCTGTTACTCAAAGTGCATCACTGACCATTTGGATTCAATTAATCTTAAACTAATGCTCAATTCATCCTGAATTGAATTCATTTTCAATGTTCTCAATTTCAGAACGAAAAGGTTCTTAATTTAAGGATATCCAAGTACTTTGGCTATTTTTTCTCCAGTGAAATTCTTTTCTACTGTTGTAGTCGAACATTAGAGCTTTTATTAGAACCTCATTTGACCCTAAGTTTCCGGACATTTTACAGTGATTTTATTATTCAAACTTTCCAGGTCTGAATTTGAATGTCGACATTGGACCGTTAGAAAATATTTTTGAAATCTGAAAACAAAATGAGAAAGTTTACGTTTGGAGGAAGATGCATGAAATAATTGAAAAATTTCAATTTTGAAAAATTACGAATATTTTCTATAAATAATTTATAAACAATCAATTTTCCACCTTAAAAATCATTTGCTCGAAATCGTAACAAATTTATTCACATTCAGAATTTTACCAGAAATCGATTCGTGCCTAAAACAAGCAGGGGACAGCGAGCATATGAAGTGAGCATGTCACGGAGTGATGTCTTATTTTTTTTCGCCATCAATACTTTGATGGCAGGCTTCCGAATGCTCTGAAATATTACAAAAGTTGATAGCTTTACAACACTAACTACCAGCAAAAATTTCAGATGGTTACTGCCATCTCTATGGGTTCTATAAAAATTCCAATGTTTCGAATACTTCGTATGAACGGGTATATATATTTTCTGTCCAAATTTCAAGTTGATATCTCGATTTTTACACAAGCTAGGGTGATTGCAAAGTATATTTTTATGAAAAAACCGAAATATCTCCAAAACTTTATGAACGGGTATATATGTTTTGATTGATTTGAATAGAAGGCATCGAAACGAATATTTTGGGAAATAAATCGAAATCGGTCCACTAGTTTTGAAGATATTTGCGGAAAACGATTGAAAAACGAATCGCTTTTTCTCAAAAACTATTAGATCGATCGGGCTGAAATTTTGCGCAGAGCTAGTTCTCATTAAGACCTTTAATGTGACAAAATTGAAGATTTTTTGGAATTACTTTAGCCAATAGATTACTCAATTTTCTACAAATTGACCACCGGGAAGGTGACGGTGGACATGCTCACATGCAGACATGTTCATTAAACTTCGTATTTTTACGTTTCAGACCAGTCCACATCGTTTCCAATCAAAATTTGAGAATCTGAAAATTGAACGATTATAATGCTTCCATTCGGAAGCAAAAATAAGGTTTCCGATAGTTTAAACAATTTCAATCATTTATTTATAAACAATGAATATTCAAAAGAGTAACAATTCTCTGCAATTTAATTCACAAATTTGATGATTGAGAATGATTGATTCTATAGTGTGGTCTGTAGCAAACTGTAAGATACTTGGATATCCCTAAGAACTCAATGGTTATTGATTTATAAACTTTTCTCACTGGAAATAAGTCTGTCTTTGATACTGGATTCTTGGATTTTTATTCTGAAGTGGAATAATCAGTTGCTAATTCTGCGTACGTCTTCTTGAGGTTATGACAATCAGTAAATTGAGTCTAGAAACTGCATACTTTTTTCTCTGCAAAGAGTTTTTTTTACAGAAAAAATCCTGGAATATAGAAGAATGTCCAAGAATTCTCTCCATTTCCAAAATGATTGTCTTATTAAGCACAAAATTATATCCGACGGGGATATTTGGTTTTAGAAGTTAATGACTTTCTCATTACCGTATACCTTTCGGTTTCTTACGGATTTCACTTTTCCTGCAGCATATTAATTCCTAATGCTTCTTCCAGCTTTCGAAAAATTCGAACCTTTTCAGAGGTGTTCCCTCGCGGCCACCCATCCTTCTAGTACCAAAGCTAAGCTGGCTCCCTTTTTTTTGTTTAACAATTGATTTATTTCAGTCAGTAACAATATTTACATTTTATATACAAAAAAAACAGTGTTGACAAAAAAATAGTACACCATAATATCCAAAAGGAAATATGAAAAAAAAAACATGGAGTTGGCTCTCGTTTTTATACCTTATCATTATGCCGGGGAAAATATTTCCCGTGCGCTGGCCTCGTAGGGGTCCGTTTTAGAAGTTCAATACCTGATTTATCAATATTTTTTTCAGTCCTTACATCCTTATCAATTTTATTTCTAGGGAATGGTCTACAGTGCAACAGTACATAAAAGAACACCCAGACTTCCATCAACACTTTTACGAGTGTCCAGAGGACATTTCCTGGATCGACTACGACTTTGGGGAGAATAACACCACAAAAATTCCTTACGACGTTCTAGAGACACCCGAGGCCGAAACTGTCTTCAAAAACCACATCAATGCCCTCCAGCAGGAACAAAGGAGACTAGAGTATGTTAATTAAATTTCTTCGTTGTATTATTAACAATTACTTAGGTTCCAATATAGCATTTATTAGGTATGTCGATTAATATTAGTGACAATATTAGTTATATTAATTTCATATCATTTTTATCATTTGAGATTAGTTATTAAGTAGGTATAATACTAATAATTTAATGCTTTTGCTTCGTTCTGGGTGGCGTTTCTTTATGCAGACTTCCAAAAAGGTAATGAACATTCGCTTTTTAGCGCTTAAGAGATGTCATTTGAATAGCTCTTTGATGTGACTCAGTGCCCGCATGAATTCATTTAATTTATTCATTCACATGTCATTGAATTAATTTTCATTGACCGGTAGAATAGAATTATAACTCTATTTTTCATTCAACTCCTGTCATTTTCCATGTGAATTTGCTTCGAACATTTCTGGGGAATTTATTAAAATGTGAGTGTTTCAATTAGATGGAAAAAACAGTTCAAACAATTGCTGGAGGAAACTGGATATGTCACGCCTGGAAAACACTTGTCAGAGGTGCGGGTGTTGTTCATGGGGCGCGAGTGCTTTGAGGCACTTTCACATCACGATTGTCAGGAGATTTACGATCAACATCAGAAGGAAATTATTGAACGTGCTAAGCATAATTTCCAGGTATGCATTTCTTCACGGTGAAAATGGACGGTTGGGGTGGGAGTTTTGAGTGATTTATTGGGGGGTTTTTTGTTGGTTTTTTTTCAGGAATTGTTGCTCGAACATGCAGACTTGTTTTATCATTTCAAGAGTATAGCACCGTCTGGTACCATTACGCAAGATGACATCAAGGAAATTATGGACGCTTTACTGGATGATTTTAGGTAGGAATTATTATCCACTTGAAAGCATGCGAAATTAGAACTATTAGATCGAGATTGAAATGTCGAGGAAATTTTTTTGTGCATTCATTTTCGTTTTTTGGATTCATTTTCGAGAAATCGTATATAACTAACAGACATTTCTACTTTAGTTTTTATTTTTGCTGATTTTTAATTTTAATTCGCAATAAAGTTTGAGAGAATTTCTTCCTGTAGGTCATATTTTTTTGTGACAAAGATCTCGATAAATTCTTCTCAGTTCTCTAATTTCGAAGACATTTGCAAAATAATATTGAAGCGAATGAAACGAATTCTTTTTTATTCGAAAAGCCGTAAAATCGTAAAAATTATTTGTTTGAAATTGTAAAAAAGGTATTCATATTCAGAATTTTACTAGAAACCGATTTCATGCCTAAAAAATAAGGTTTCCGAAAGTTTAAACAATTTCAATTATTTATTTATAAACAAAGAATGTTTAAAAAAGTGTGCAAAATGTAATTTGAATGACGCTCAATGTTCATGACTTTTTCAAATGTTTCTCACGCAATTTAATTGACAAATTTAATGATTGAAAATGGTTGAATCCACAGTGTGGTCTGTACCAAACTGTAAAAGAGACTTGGATATTCTTAAGTTCCTTCGAATTTGTGTTGGAATGCCTAAAGCACTTCTATCCCCCTTCAAAATAACAGTAATTGAGTATTAAAATTTTTATTTACAACTATTTAATCCTTTTAATCAATTAAAACAGGTACAAGACACTGGACAGACTCGACCAGGACCGCAAATTAATGTTGTTCCAACATTTGGGCTTCGTGCATTGTCCAATTCGTGAACACTGTCCAGCATTCCCAAATTGCATGGACGCGCTGATTGAACGAATACTGGGTACAAAAGCCCACAGGTATGTAAAATAACTCTCCCCCACCTTCTCCCTTCCTCCGCCTCCTTCTCGTTCATGAATGAAATGATAAATCCTTTCATCAATAGTGGTACGCACAATAATGACATACAACTTTACAGGCCCTCGTCGTGGAACCACAGTAGTCAATGGCAATTAACGTCCGAGAATAATCAGCTAAATTTGGTTATACTAGGCAGCAATGGATTGGGAAATGAATTTGCCCATGAAATTAAAACTCAAACCGAGGATGACGAGGTGGAAATTGATTGTCAGTTGTATACACTTGGATACAGGGTTATTGATGGTGACGTTGGATTACCACACAATTCATTTACTACTTCCGATTTTATGCCACATGGTAAATATCACATTTTATAAAAATTTCTTATGATTCGACATCGATTATTCTATTCAATTCCAAGAATTGTTTGTTTTGAAATTGATTGTGCTAGTTCATTCTTCTCTTTTTTATTTTGGTTTTTAAGGATGCCATGTATGTCCTTATAAAATTCGATTTTCCAATCTTCACTAGAAAATTGTTTTTTTTTTTCTATTGATTGTATCAAACACAGGGTGAACATCGGCAACAATTTCAAAATTTTAGAACTTATGGGTATCGAAAAATGAAATGAACAAAATGAGCCTTATACACAAGCTCTCGTGGTGTTACGATTTAAAGTAGCTTCATTCTTCGGCCGGGCTACGCTGCACTTTTGGATATTTTCAGTGTTTGAATTTTTCAACTAAATTGCATGGGAAAAATTTGAAAAAATTCATACCCTGTCAGTATTATCTAAATTAAATTTCGCAGAATATTGATATTTTTTCAAACATTTGCTTCTTATAAATATGTAATAGAACTTGTTTCTATTACATTAATTTTTATAATGCATACCTGAGAGTATGAAATGTAATGGATTTTACTTTTTCATTTTCACATTAAGTCATCATGAAGTTTTCACGATTTGAATGGAGAAAAGGATAAGCGGTCTAGTTTATTATATGTGCGAAGAAAATGAGAAGAAGAAAAAGGAAAAGAAGAAGAAGGAGAAGAAGAAAATTACAGTTTTCGTAATTTTGTGGGATTACTAGACTAGTTTAAACTATTGATTTGATTGAGAAAAATGATAATTTATTGTATCTATTGAAAATACCAATTTTGATGTTTCTTTGCAGGATCATTCTGTGTTTACTCGAACGAAGATTCATTCGAATACATAAGATCATCTCTGGAGAAAACTCTCCTGTCAAATCTCGAGCAGGAGGACAGATTACCGTTTCAAGGTCTTCCAATAGTAATAATGTTCATTCCTGAATCGACAATTGACGAGATGGAGGCAATGAGACTGAGAGAGGAGGGACAAAATCTTGCTGACAGCTTGCAGTGTCCATTTATCGACGTTTGCGTCGAAGATTTGGAGCCTGACAAGCGTTTTCCAAGTTCTCTTGTTAAAGACGCCCTACAGCAGCTCATACAGTCGATAAATCATCGCGCTGGCTTCTTGAACATTTACCAGAGTGTCATCGAGTGTTTGGAGCCTGACATCAGGTAAACATCTTCATAAATCTCCTCGGAAACTGTCCGTTAATACTTCAAGTGAACTTCCAAGTAATAGTCCCTAGAATTGAATGAGTTTGACATTTAAAAATTATTTCGGGGGTTCCCGGGTTTTTTTAGGGTATCATAACAGTGTAAAATTTCTGCTAATTGAGAGTTCATTGCAGAAAATAACGGCTGCAGGGTGAAATGTCAAATGACCTTTTTAGCACTATTAAAAATTTTCATCTGAATTGTCAAAAAATACAAAACTTTTACACATTTTCAAATGAATCAAAATAACGATTATTGCTATCACCTCCATCTTCGAACTTGGTCCAAAGAACATCCGAACAAATTTTCAAAGCCATCATTCAATCAATTCGTAACATTTTTTTGTTCGTGAAACAAACAATTTTTGAAAAAATTGAAAAAATTAATGGATAAATTAAATTTTAATTAATGGCGATTGATAGGGCTCAATAATAGCTGCGTTTGAGGAAAAAAAAGATTCAATTCCATCGATTCATGAGCGAACAATCGCTGAAAAATTAGTTTACATACGTACGGATATGGTCTAAAAATTGTATTTTCGGACTTTTTGGATTATACTGGGTCGATATAACAAAAAATCCAGAAGTTAAATTTGAATAATTACAATGCTCCCATTCGGAAGCAAAAATACGCCTGGAAAATCTATAAACTCACTCGTTCTACATTTACAAACATAAAAAGAAACTCAACCCTTCGCTCTAATTCCAGGATAATCATGTGCATGTTCTGTGGAGATCCATACTCGGTGGAAAATGTACTGGGCCCTCTCCTGAGCCACCAGTGTTGCTTTTTGAGCGGTGAAAAGTCAATAGTCCTCGAAACATTCCTGGGCGAGTCAAAAAGAAGAGTCGAGGTGATAATCTCGAGTTTTCACGGTGCTAATGCCTTCAGAGATGAATTAGTGCACGGTTTTATACTCGTGTACTCGACAAAGAGAAAAGCATCCCTCGCAACATTGAATGCATTCTCAATGAACATACCAAATTTACCAATTCAAATAATGGCTGTCACCGACACCGGTGGAGCCAATGCATTCTTCACTAGTGATCTTAGTCACCTACTTATCACCGAGGGAAATGCAACCGCAGATCGCTTGCAAGCGCATTTCATGACGTCAGCATCGAGTTGTCAGCAAAAAAGTAAGGACTTGTATTTATTATTCACTCCCTTGTACCTCGAGTTGGAGCACTGAATTGTTTTTATTGTTCTTGTACATTTCTTTTTTTATTGTTCTTGTATTTTTTTCTGTTCTATTTTAGCTGCGTTCTATACACCATTCTTCAAGGAAGTTTGGGAGAAAAAACCGGAGATTGAGCAGGCGTTCAACATGGAGGAGCCTGGCAATCTCAACGACAGTGGTGAGGGCACTTTGGAGTACTCTGCACTACATCCAATGCCACCACCGAGACACGAGAGTTATCACCTGCAGACACCAGATGACGGGTAAGGCATCTTAACATGCAATTATGCAGGATTCAAGTGCTGAAATGTGATACGTTGAGGATGTTTACACATTTTCACATCGGATTTTTCCATATTTGAAGGAAATTGTGTTGTTTTTCGGGATTGGGGCGTATACAGAACTTACTTTTCTCAGGGTTGTAACAAATTTAATGAAAAGAAATCTTATGTCATTGAGATATCTTATTTTATCATGGGGTATTCATTTCTAAAATTTGTAATAATCCTGTTCTGGTGCATACATTTGGGACATTCTGTTCATTTCACTTCTGAATAGCTCATCTGGATTGAGCTGTTTCAATTTTTTAATAAAAATGCAAAAAATTCATCTTTGTCGGTAAGGAAAATCAAAATATTGAAATTTTTGGAAGAAGTGTGGTGGAGTGTAAACATACTCAATTCAACTTAATAGTGTAGTATTATAGGTCAATTTTTATTGACAAAAATCCAACAGTGATTTTTGTCCCTGTTTTTGACATTCTCAAATTCTATGAAGAGGTTATCGTGAATATGAGTAGAAATGAAAGAGTTTATGGAAATTTTATCAATATTCCTCATTTACGAATATTAAAATTTTCTGCGGACATTAATTCCCTTTAATCTGTTTACAATGATCGAAAAATTTAATTTCATTAGAATATTTTCTTCTGGGAACAAATATTTTCCAGTGTAAAAAATTCTAGTTTAATAATATCATAGGAGGAATATCAAATATTTCTTTTAAAAATATGTTACAGAATACATTAGTATATCAATTAGTATGATCATGTTGCTCCATAAATTAGATTGAATTGAGCATTTCGTATGTCAAATCGGAACGAATATTTTTATGCGAAAACCCTTTGACTGTTGTAATATTTTACCGAATTGACACAAGTTTGTATTTTTACACCAGAAATTAATCCTATTAATTGGATAACACAATCATAGATTAAGGAAGGGTTGAACCAAGCCTTGTCAGCCAAATAAATCGTCAGAATAAATTTATGCCTGTAGTAAATTTATTCCACAGGTAGGCAATTTGTGGAATTCGTTGTGGAATGCTTTCATTCAGGCATCTGGTCGTGAATATTGACTCAATATTTCATAATTCGTGGTATTATTGCCAAAGAGTTATGATACATCGATATACCACGTCATTTGGTGAAATACCATCGAGGAACTTTCGATTATAATTGATCAACAAATTATTTTTATTTATTCTGATGCTCAACTGAGGATTTTCTTCACTGGACTTGGTGCAACCGGTCAAAAATGAATCAAATAAATAAGTTTTATTAAATAGTACAAATTAAAGTCTTTATTCAAATCAAAAATGTTTCTCTACTTGAGGTTCTGTTTATGTGAAATTAATGCTTTTTATTATTAATGAACCTTTCTTTGATCCAAATAAATTTTTTATTAATAACAAGTAAAGTGTTCTTATATTAGGGGTCGGCTGCACCAAGCCTTGTTAGCCAAATAAATCGTCAGCATAAATTTCTGTCTGGAGTAGTTATTCTACAGTTGGACATTTTTTTCGTCATAAAGTGCTTTCATTCGGCCATTCGGTCGTGAATATTGACTAAATACTTCATAATTAGTGGTATTATTGGCTAAGTAGTGATGATACATCGATACATCACGTTTTTTGCTGAAATGCCTTCGATGAATTTTCGATCAAAATTTATCGGCAGATTATGTTTATTTATTCGGCTACTTAACTGAGGATTGTCTTAACTGGGCTTTGTGTAACTGAGCCTAGGTCAACCATATGCTATACTTAACAATTTTTGAATATTCAAGGTGGAGAATAATTTTTTGTTTATACCCTAGCCTCATTGGAGTTAACATTGATTTAACCCTTGGTTTAATTCATGTTTGGTCTCCTAGGGATAAATTCTAGATACTCCCTTGAATGAAATCATTGAACTTCAAAATTTACTCTTTCTCTCTCTCTCTCTCTCTCTCTCTCTCTCTCTCTCTCTCTCTTAAGTGACGACTTAGTTAATGGGAGATCGCAACTGGCCCAGTCATCCCTGAAATTAACAAATAATTAATCATCAACACAGATCTTGATATATTCAACAGAAAAATCTAATGCGAAACAGTATGTCTGTTACTTTCAGAAGTGGATCGGAGTCGTACGAGCAACTAACGCCAGACGGTGATCTCGGTGATCCTGGGCTCAACGAGCAGTTCAATGACCACCGTGCAACACCCAGCGATGACAGTGACATTTACAGTCAAGTGGACTTCCACCGGGAGGAGCGAGAGCGAGAGTTGCTCAAAGGAGGAGATTTCGCCAATAAATTGACAGGTAAAAGCCTCACTCAATCTCAATACAACTCATTCACCCGTTACAATGACGGAAAAAAAGTTTCGTGTTTTTTCGAGATTGATTTTTCCTGGGTGGAGAATCAAAGGATATTGGTAAATCAAACCAACCATATGAATTCAGAAAAAGTAACAATAATGACGATAAAAATAAAATAATAATCACTATGAGTAATAATAGCGTTGGCTAAATATTCTTTTGATAAATATTGTAGCTTCCTCGGGCATAATTGAGAGAAATATATCTCAATTACAGTAGAGTAAGACCAGATTTGAGGAAAAATTAGTGGAAATTTGAACTTTTCCCTCTGATTTTTAGGGAAAGTTTCTTTTAAATAAGTGAAAATCTCATTCATCACCGGGAATTGATGCTCGGTAGATTTCAGTATAGCGGAGTTTTTGAATTTCCATAGCAAAGAGGAAACCCATGCATGTGTGCAGTGGTCTTGATTAAAAATAGTTATACATTCTGATACAGGTTTCGAAGTAAAATATACAATAACGCTAGGGGGCTACGACCCCCATTTAACCCCCATGACCTTATTTTGACCCTTCCTTTCTGACCCTTAATTTTGGAGTCTTAATTTAGAGCACGAAAGTTTCATCACCAAAAGTCGATTTGGATTTTTACAATATAGAGAGATATTGAGACCCTTATTTTGACCCTTGTGACCCTTAGTTTCTGACCCCCATGACAGTAATTTGACTCTTGTGACACTTATATCGATCCTTAATCTGACCCTTGTGACCCTTAATCTTACGACCATTAATTTTACTCACATAATCATTAATCTGATCCTCGTGACCCTTATTCTGACCCTCATGATCCTTAATATCGGAGTCTTAATTTCGAGTACCAAATTGTTATCACCAGATGTCGATCTAGATTTTTATAATATAGAGAGATATAATGAAAAAAAAGGTATAAATATACAAGGCGAAGGAAAAATAATCAAAGTGTGACGAACAAGTAAATCACACAAGGTTTTTACATAAGGTCCATACTTTCCATACAAATTTCCCTACATTCTTCAACATAACTCTGGCATAGCATAATCCGTACACAATTGTAATGATATATCAATTTCTTTGTTTAAAATTCGCAGGCTGGGTGAAAGACACATTTATGCATCAAGACGGGGTCTCCAACTCGTACTCCCACCGTGCATTTACGACAGGTCGTCGTCACATACCCCAGATAAAGTCAAGACCCAAGGGAAACAGTCAAACATTGAAACAGCCTGGAAAAATTAATCTGAAGGACTTTTCAAATGTAACTGATGCAATAGCACGTATGAATACTGGTGAAAAAGTCGAGCATTCATCGAAAATGGGGCATGCACCACTGGCAACACCAGAGCTCGTTGATCTTGAGTACGCTCATCCCAAAGACGTTGTACCAAATCTCTATCCATCGTACGAGGGAGAGTACGCTTATGCATTAGTCCAGGATTCAATTTCAAATAATAAATCAAAATTACGACATAGGAGGGAAAAAGGACAGCCGTCTTACAGTGACTCGGACTCGGAGTGGAGTTCTTTGGAGAGACAGAGGGTTGCTGATGTCATTGCTAAGGCTAATAAGAAACCAACGACGCACAAGAGGACACGGAAGAAGAGGGCTGCTATTCCTGTTGCTACGCCCAAAGTACCTTCTCTGGGGAGCATGACCAGTGGTGACGGCATTGTCGGGCTCAATTACAGTATTAAGGATGATAAAACTTGGCGAATTGATCTCACTGAAAGGGGTAAGAGTTTTGTTTGTTTTATTGGGTTGGTTTTAAGAAGATGCGGGTAATTTTATTTTACTCTGCAAATATTGCGATGAAAATCATATCCGCGTTGTTGAGTTTGGGTGGCGAGTCAAGGGATATTGGAGAGAATAATAACTCTGTGGATTAAAATAGTATAAGTGAGACTTTTTTAAATATTTTAGCTCCTTCGGACTACTGCCACGATCAACATTTATTCGTAGTATTTTTTTAATGTTTCGTGGGGAAATTTATCAATTGCAAGTGAATATTACTTCAGAGTATGAATTTTGTTTTCATTTTTTAAAATCAATTCTCCAATTCATTGAATAGTGGGACTGAGTGTTGATTGTGTCTAGGGCTGAAGGGAGCGGAAAGATTAAGGGGTAGCAGAATGCTGCTAATTTTCTAAATTTTTGAACAAATTTGCTGCCGAAAGTGATCGATATTTTTATAAATGGAACCACTTTCAGAAGATTGTTTTTGACTCACATTTTCTAAAAACTCATCAAAGTTCATTTGTAGTAGACAAAAACAAGTGGGCAATTGCTATTTCTTACAGCTTGATGTGGTAATTTTGCTGATAAATTAGCAATTTGCTTCCGAATGGATATTTTTGCTTAAATTAGGGTTCCCAGGGACTTGTGATCCCTATACTTCAACGTAATTTCGGACACTTATATTTGACCCTTATTTCTAATTCTTATTTTTGACCCTGATTTCTGACCCACATGTAAGTTTTGACCTTTATTTCCGACCTCTGTGAGCCTTAATTTCGTGATTTGATATGCTTACGGCTATGAGTCGAGAATTGATATTGCAATCGGTACCATCTTTGAACTCGGTTTGGATAACATTGAAAAAAATGTTTTGAGTCACAGTTGAATCCATTTGCACAATTATTTGTTGAGTAATTGCGGCAAACCTAAATCCAGAAACATATCAAAATTTGGAAGACTACATCACCGATTAAAATTATTTTGGTATTGAATTCTAGGGCTCATTGGACTCTACATTCTATTAACGTACTTCCTCAGTGAGTTATACTTAATGAAAATTTCGCAATGAACTGAAGAGCTAAAAACGATTCCCAAAATTTTAAGTATTTTTTCCACGCGAATTTTCGAGATATGCATCGACAAAAACTTAAAAAAGACAAAAATTGAATGTTTGACGATGGATATCTCACTAATTCGCGCAGAAAAAATACTTGAAATTTTGGGAGTCATTTTTATATGTCGTCAACATTGTCGTCAACATATGATCCAAATTTTAGGTCTTCAGTTCATTGCGAAATTTTCACCAAGCATAACTCACTGAGGAAGTACCTTAAGAAAAGTACAAAATTTGATCAATTGATTTTTGACAAAAACGTAAAAAAATCGGTCACATATATATATATATATATATACGCACATACATACATAGGTACATAGCCTGCAAACATGATCTAGATCCTGAGCGCAAATTATTTACGCAAAAAACTGAAAACTTAGATTTTTAAGATTACAATGTTTCTATTTAGAAGCACAAAGGCTCTTGGCAAGTTATATTCAGACGATTCAAAATCCTCTGAAATGCAAGAATCCATAGGTATCTGATGAAGTGCTGAGACGACCTTTTAGGATACAAACGAATATCCTTATGTTTTTTCCAGTATCACTTGATTCTTCAGCTAAATTCTCAAATACTTATCGCTGATCGTTTTTCGGCGTTTGTAGGAAATTAGTAGAGATTTTATTTAAGGATATCCAAGTATTTTGGCTATTTTTTCTCCAGTGAAATGCGTTTCTACTTTTGTAATCGAACGTCAGAGCTTTCATTTGAGATCCGTTTGACCCTAAGTTTCCGGACATTTTACAATTTTATTATTTAAACTTTGCAGACCTGAATTTGAATCTTGATCTTGAACGGTTAGAACACATTTTAAAAACCTGAAAAAAATTAGAAAGTTTACTTTTGGGGGAAGATTGATGGAATAATTTAAAAATTGCAATTTTTAAAAATTTCGAGCAGTTTTTAGGAATAATTTTAGAAACAATCCATTTTTCACCATAAAAATCATTTGTTCGGAATCGTAACGAATTTATTCACATTAAAATTTTTACCAGAAATCAATTTCATGCCTAAGAAAATAAAATTTCAAAAATTTAAACAATTTCAATTACTCATTAAAAATGAAAATTCTGTACAAAACGTAATTTCAATGACGCTGAGTTCATGATTGTTTTTCAAATCTTTCCTTACGCAATTTAATTGACAAGTTTGGTAATTAAAAATGGTTGAATCTATAGTGTGGTCTGTACCAAACTGTAAAAGATACTTAGATATTCTTAAGGGAAGACCGCGGTGAGATCTCAAAATCTTCATTGGATTAGGGCACGTATTCAGCGGATCGTATTACACCGTAAAATGGATGCATACCTTTTTTCTTTGGGGACTAAGAACATATTCAAAAAAAATTGTCAATCGTATGAAAACTGAGGCACTCGGATGATTTTAAAGGTAAAAATGAAAAACGTTTTTCGTTCATTCACGGGGCAAAATCGTTTGTGGTCATCATTTTTTCCACTTTTTAACGCCTACCATCATATATCAAAATTCGCTCAATAACTCCCCAGCTCTAACGAGAGCTTTCAAATTTTACTGCGGTCTCCCCTTAAAGAGAATGTGGGATAGCTCAGGGTTCATTGGTGTGGGTATGTTATTGAATTAAAAACGAAGATAATTATTTGATGCAGTCACTTCCTTTTTGATCAAAGAGAATAATTTCACCAAAAAAATTTGAATATTTTTGTTTAATTTCGTCTCAGTAACTCTGTGCTTTTAGGAGAAAAGTTCGGGGCTGAAAGTTTTCTCGACATTTCAGTAGTGAAGCGGTAAAAGCGTTCAAGTAGATTTCGTATATTGGCCAGTTTCCAATGAATATCTCGGAATCCAAGGGAGATAGCAAAATTTTTGTTGAAACCTTTTTTTAGCCCTCAATTAGCTCTGCAAGGAAGGTCATTACAAAAATTTCGCTATCTCCCTTAGATTCGGAGATATTCCTCAAAAACTCAGCTAAGGCCTAAATCGATTTAAGGAGAAACGAACCCTTGCGTCTATATGAATTTTTAGAATTGCGTTATTTCCTACAATTATTATGTTATATCTACGAATTTACTTTATCAACTCGATCATTGCATTGTTGAGTCACTGCAGTAGTTTCATAAACAAAAAATAATAATTGCAGTAGAAAACACAATTCTAAAAGTTCATATCGACCCAGGGTTCCGTTTCACCTTAAAGCGTGTTACCACTTCACTACTGATTTTTTTCTTTCAAAAAAATTCGTAATTATTAAGGGAATTTGATTTTTGACGAGATGAAAAATCGAATCATTACGTTTCGACCGTTTTGTGAATTATAAAAGTTTTTAATTAATAATGGGGGAAAATTAGTTTCTTAAAAGTCGTTATTTATTATCAGTATCGAGTGAAACACCGGATAGCTCAGAGTCTAGTGAGCCTGAACACGGCACGAGATCAAGATTAAAAGCTAATAAACACGCGCCGGTTAGTGTGAGAAAGAGATTTGGAAATTCAGCTGCAACGCTACAGCATCCATTCAACCTGAAACACGTGACCCAGGATATGTTCAGTGTGTCCTGTGAGTCCGATTCTTTAATTTTAGAATGATTAAAAAAGAAAATTATCAGATAACATAACAATCTACTTGCTTTGCATGATTTTAAAATGGAGAAAAATAGAATATTTAGTTTAATCAATTGAAGACTATGACTCATTCATTAAAGATGAGAATTTTTTGTGGTAATTATCACTTATGAGTGAACATTTTCAGATGATGAATCGAGTCTGGACGTTTCCTCTCCCCGAGAGATTAATTCCCCAAGTGTAAGTATTTTTCAAAAAATTCTGCAGCGAAGTAGGACAACTTTTTTTGTGAAAACCTCGAAAAAATTATAAGCATTTCAATTAATTTTCCCAAGATATGAGTTAAATGTCTAACAAATTCTTTTTGGACTTGGAAAAAATGAATATAAAATGTTTTAAAGTATCAGGTCTGTCCACAAATTCGTGCGTATTTTTTAGGACATGAAAAGTGAAGAAACATAGAGTACATTTCGTTAATCAAATATATATTGTTATCTACATCGTTATCTGCAACTAATCTCTATAACCCTTCAATAACATCTCGATGCCTTTTTTTGTTTTTTTGTTTGATTTTCTTAATGAGAAAAAAATAAAAATAGGATGAAAAAAACTTTGAAAATTTGAGCTGAGGGAATTCTATTGACTTTTTCTATTGGCTTTTTCTATTGAATATTTCAATAGAACCGACCAAGAATTAACAGAAAGTTCAACAGAAATCCAATAGAATTTTCTAACGAATTGGCTAGGTTTTTCCATTAAATTTTTTTGTGCATAAATAAATGAGTCACACGCTCGACATTCCCAAATACACACGAGCTTATGAACTGACCTGATATTTCTGAAACTATGAAGTTTAGGTAAAAATGCCGAGAGCCTGTTCTTGGACCCCACGAAATTGTGAAGAAGGAAAGACCCTCATCAGTGTCTTGAATTTTCACTCACAGATAAAGACTTGTTCACTGCTACTTCACTGCTGGATTAATAATACAATACTAGACCTGTACAATTTAAGATATTACAGTTTGGAATATTAACGAAGGGTAAGGACGGTGACAAGCTGACGAGGAAGAAGGACAAGCAGAAGGCGAAGGAGGACGAGAAGTTGGAGAAACGTCGGCAGAAGGAGGAGAAGTTGAGGAAAAATGCTGAGAAGGAGAAGGAACGAGAGAAGAAGAAGCAGGAGAAGATAAAGCAGACCAAAGGGACAAATCCAGGCTCAACAATGTCTGGACAATCGCAACAGTCACTCATCGAGGACTTTGCACAGAGTGAGACCAACAGAATACCTCTGTTCCTCGAGAAGTGCGTGAGATTCATTGAGGACGAGGGACTCGACTCTGAGGGCATCTACAGAGTTCCTGGAAATCGAGCACACGTGGAACTTCTCTTCCAGAAGTTTGAGGAGGATGGAAATGTGGATATTCATTCGTTAGACATTCCTGTGAATGCCGTCGCCACTGCTCTCAAGGACTTCTTCTCGAAACGATTACCACCCTTGATTGATAAGGAGCGCATGGCAGAGTTGGAGGACATTTCTGGTATGATTTTTTAATGATTAAAGCATATCCTTAGAAAATAGATTTTTCTTCCGATTGTCACCATGTTTATCATAGGGGAGAGTGCAAAAAAATGTTGTTTATTAACTTTTTTTATTCTTGGGAGTACTGATGAGAATAATAATTTTCTATTCTCCTGAACAGAAAATTATTTAGAAGTTTTGACTGGAGGAGAATAAAAAAAAAGAAAAAAAGAATAAAAAAAGAAAAGTGTAGTCGGCATAATCTAATTAATTGAATTATAAGACGAATAGAAAACTGTTATTCTCATTAGTACTCCCAGAAATAAAAAAAGTTGATAAAAAAATTTTTTTTGCTTGAATTGCGTCGAATAGTTATTTTTCAGCTGTTTCATTTTGCCCCACATTCCCCTAGATAATCTTTATAATATTTTGCAGCTGTTGAAGAAAATTCTAACTAGCTGTTCTGCAGTGTTTAATAGATAATAAGCTCTCTAAACTTACTAGTTTCATAGATATCTATGAAATTACCTGACGAACCTTTTACGAATTAGTAGATTTTGCGGAAATTGTAACAAAACTTATATTAATTATTTTGTCGGGGTTGTCTTTGGAATAACTCCTTATAAACGATTCGTCCATTCTTTAAAATCAATGTTAATTAATGTTTCTGTGATTTTTAATCAGGTGCACGAGGTATCAGTAAACCAATGTCTGCTACGTGCATGAATATGGAAGGTCAGTGTCATAATAAGTTGTCCGTTTAGATTAATTTTTGCAAGGAATCCTCTCATAATTGTTTTTTTTCCATTGTCTTGTTCGCAGATCGAAGTTGTAGACTTCTTGCCCTACGATTGATGCTCAATAAATTGAATCCAGTCAATTTTGACGTTCTGAAGTTTATTTTTCAACATTTTGTAAAGTAAGTTTTGGTTAGAAAATTAAATTATAATTTTTTATGGAGGGGGTTCCATAAAGAGCCGTAGAATTTTAATAGGAGATATCTGAACCGAATAAGTTGTACAGAAAAATCAAATTCCATAGATTTTTTCAATAGAATATTTTCCATTAAATATTTGCGTTAAGCGCAAAATAAGCGGAATTTTTCAGTGGGATCAGAAAAAATGAAGCTTCAATCGAAATCCGATGGAATTTTCTAGCAAAATTGCCTAGGTTTTTCTACAAAATTTTTTTGAATGTGATTTTCCACTCGAATCCTCTAAAGATCGATTTTTCCTAAAAAACCAACACCCATTAATTCTTCATCTCTTCCTCAGAGTTGCTGAAAATTGCAAATTAAACAGCATGGACAGTAAGAATCTGGCAATATGCTGGTGGCCTACCCTATTACCAATAGAGTTCAGCGACCTCGGGAGATTCGAAGCAATGAGGCCATACCTCGAGGACGTCGTTCAAACGATGATCGACCAGTACCCCTTCCTCTTCTGCGACAAAGAGGCCATCGTAATGGTTTAGTAACGAATTTCTCAACAACACAAAATACACATACACACGTGAATAAATCCAAACAATTAATAATTAACTCACGGACTGTCACAGAAGGACCTAAAAATGGTGTATAAAGTAAGTGAATTTTTTAATGATTTATCCGAAGCAGTAAAGTTCATTATAAATAATGAATAACTAATGAATTTACATAGAATTACTGAAACAATGAAAGAAAACATAGCGCTTGGTCCTACTCTTAACAATATCAATAATTAATACTAGAGCGCATTTTGCGTTGATCCAGATTCACTTAATACTGGGTAAATAAGATGAATTGAATTTTTAAAAAATAATGAAACTTCTTTTGCAACTGATCAATTGTCTTGGACGATCGTCACTGGGGATAATGAGCAGTAGAGTCAATGCAGATACCATTAAAATTGTGTGAATGTGTTTATTATACTCGAGAGCGAATTATTTATTGCGAATGGAAATAGTGATTAAGGAAATGAACAAAAAGGTCGATGTTGCTTTTTTTTTTTTTTTCATTAATGCAAGTGGGAATTCAAGGGAGGGAAAAAGGACAATTGGTAATGTTAATTGATGAGGTGTTGTGGGACGATCGTCAATAGTCGAATTTTCCATGGACGTTTTTTCATGATTAAAATAACAATTGTAAATTAAATGAACCATAGGAGTGTGATTTATCCTCAATTATTTCGTGGAGAGAGAGAGAAAAATGAGTTGTGCCATGCCGATTGTAGTTTGTTTGATGGTGATCGATGCACGGCAGTGATATATTTGCTTACACCATTCCGTCTAATTGGTTAATGGGGATGGGTAGGAGAGTGAGGGTTTTTTTGGGGCAGGTTTGAATACTGCGTTGAAGGGGTGAAATTTAATGAGTTTTATCTTATTATTGTGATTATTATCTCGGGCATGAGTGATTTTGGGAGAATATTTCACGGAAAGAAAATAGTTTTGAAGGAAAAACATTAATTTTTGGTGTTGATCAATTGACAATATTTAAATTTTTCGTTCAAGAATTGGAACAAACGGAGAAGGGAATATTCTTGAATAAAGAATTAAATTTTGAACGTAAGAATCTCCGTATTCTTAATTCAAGGAAGTATAATGTTTTTTATTTTTTATATATATATTTTTTCATTTGTTTGAAGTGCGTAAATTTACAGGATTTATTTGGATTGTCACCTACACTGTTAGAAAAAAATTTGAAATTTCTTGGACGATTGACTTGCAATTTTCAGGAGAGTGACATTGAATGCGATTTAAGGATATCCACGTATCTTTTACAGTTTAGTACAAACCACACTATAGATTCAACTATTTTCAATCATCAAATTTGTCAATTAAATTGCGTGAGAAAAATTTCAACAAAATCATGAACATTCAGCGTCATTCAAATTACATTTCGCACAGAATTATTTGTTTAAATATTCGTTGTTTATATATAAATAATTGAAATTGTCTAAACTTTCGGAAATGATTTTGATTATTTTTACGGTGGAAGTTTTTTTAATACACTATTTGTAGGAAATGCTCGTAATTTTAAAAAAATACGCTTTTCATATTACGAGATCAGCCGCGTGTGCTGCGCACGCGCCTTCTCATATCCTCACGTAGTGGCGCTTTGGTTTTAGTCTTACGCTTACGCTTATTCGAGATTTTCGAGATATTTCGAGATCGATTTCCTTTTTCCTTTTTACGATAGAGAATAGGATTTCATCAATCTTTCCACAAAAGCAAACTTTCTAATTTTTTTTCAGATTTTTAAAATGTTGTCTAACGGCTTAATATCGAGGTTCAAATTCAGACCCGTAAAGTTTAAATAATTTTTTGTTTTTTTGTATACCCTCTCGGGTTTTTACGATTTGTTCCCTTCCCACCCCCCACCAATTCCTTGTAACGCATTCGCCGAGGGCCAAGGAAAAACCTCACTTGAGGGAAAAACCTTGACCAGGTAAAGTCGCCCCTTGTCGTACAATGAATCTGTGAAAATTAGAGCGTTAAAAATTCATTTTGCCCCCCCCCCCTCCCCACACCGGAATACGAACCCGAGTCGTCCGCGTGCCAATCCCGCGCTCTAACCACACAGCCATCGCCGTCGGTGTAAAGTTTAAATAATAAAATCATTGTAAAGTATCCGGAAACTTAGCGTCAAATGGGGCTCAAATGACAGCTTTGATGTGTGACTACAAAAATAGGAAAGCATTTCACTGGAGAAAAAATCGCCAAAATATCTGGATATCCTTAAGTGGGAAAAAAATAATGAAATTTCAGATTTCGTTGAAAATTCAATGAAATTCTAACATTTGAGCACCGTTAACACGAAAATTCTTCAACGTATTTGAATTTTCAATGAAAACATGAATATTCACTGCTAAATTACATTGAATTTTCAATTAACTGAAAATTGAAGAATATATTAACCAGAATTTTCTAGATTTCTATTGATTTTCATGGAATAATTGAGCTGAAATTTCCAGCCCCTATTCATTTTTCCATGAAATTCTAAATTTTAATTACGAAATTCCTTAAAATTTCAATGGCACTAAAATGCGATAACAATTTCCTTAAACTGTACCGGAAATAACAACGATTTTTTTTTAACAGTGTATGAGGTACACTCCCAGTGGTACATTATTAATTGTTGAATATTTGGACAAAAATCACTCCTTCCTGCGATGATTGCGAAATTAATGCTAATTCTACTGGACTCATTACTTTCCACTGCTTGAAATACAGAATTGAATTGTTTTATTGATAAAATCGAGCGAGAACCAAAAGTGTAAACTCAATGAATGTTTTCGCAGATATAACGGAGGGTATTTGTATTCTGCTACATTGTGGACAATCCATCGAAGTGCATCAAGCGATCATGTACATGATTAATCCACGAACAATTTGTTCTCCTCTAAGAGGATCAAAATAGCATTAAAATTCATTCATTCACTGCAAATTTCGAATATTTTGAGAATCTCAAAAGGAAACAGTATCAACTAGTTGTGCCATAGGATAGCCTTATCCAATCGAAACTGAGAAAGTGCTTTGGTGTCTCACAATCGCTCGAGTCCTCGAATCATCTGAAATTCATTCATCAAAGTAATTAGGGGAGGCGGCCCTGGAATTTTAAAGTCCTTCGATTTTTTAATCGTAGATTTGAGAGTTCTTAGTACTCGCTAGGAGCTTCAAAAAATTGGGAAAGTAGCATATTCTAAAGAGTTTCAAGGTGCACAAGGGATCAAAAAGGGACAAAATCTAAAAAGTCGCTCAAGTTTTTGAATCCTCCACGCATTCTCTCTTGATTATCATCAATTTAGAAATATATCCCGCGGTATTTACCCAGCATTGTATTTTTTTAGAGGTATCTGAGTACTATTGGCCCAGTAGAATCTTCAGTTTTTCGTTGCGTGGAAATTTGGGCAAGGATTTTCATGTCAATTGACAAAATACACGACCCGCCCCTTCTATTACGTAGATTTCCCTTTGTTTTCATTTTGGTTTTTGTTTTTTTTAATGAAATTGAGTTAAAAACAATTAAAATACGTACGGAAAAACAAAGGACTAGGTAAACAATCAAATCTTTAAGGGATGCTCTTTGAACATTTTACAATAGGGAACTTACATGAAGCACAATTCTTTGTAATTTCCCTATTCACACATTCCTCGTAATATATAGATAGCTAAATGGCGAAATTTATGGAGAAATATTGCCCAGATGTCTTATAGTAATTAATTGAAAATCAGTCGTTTTCGAGGTCAATTTTACGTTTATTACGCCACGAAGACGGTCAGGCAACGCTTTATTGGTCGAAAACGAAGAGAGTGGGGGGTTGTCATCCTCCATTGGCCGAGTCGTACCTCAAAAGATTGGGTTAGGTCGGCTCGAGCCATTCTGATTGGTCCAGCGCTCGACCGTCTGTGTGACGTCATTACCGATTTCAAAGCGTTTGAAATCTTCAACTTTTAACAACTAATTATTAATTAATGCGCAATATTTCAAACTTTTGTGAATAAAAAATGAATTATTCAGGTTCCAGAACAGCTTTTTTTCGCCTTGGCGGATGCAAAGTGAAATTTTACTTTCCGCCAAGGGGTAGGCGCAGTCAGATTTCCCGCGAAGCGGAACAGACGGAAAATAACGTCCTGACCACGGGAGGTTAAATAAAGGACCCTTCCCCATGTGCTTACCACCCGAGCCGAAGGCGAGGCTGGTAATTCCGCACGTGGGCCCGACTTCTTTATTTTACCCTCTAGGTTAGAAATATACTTTTTCTGCCTTGTGACGAAAATAGTTATTTTAATCCGTGGGAGGTGTGTAGCGCTCGCTGAAGACTGTGCTATCCTCCCATGGATCCAAAAAACATTTTTTCCACGAGTATCGAACCCTATTTTTCATGACGATGTGTGGAATAGTATATTAGGTGTACAAATTAATAAGATGCTTTTTTTCATGAAAATCAAAGTTTATTATAAAATAAAAGAAGACATTTAACGGTCGAAATATTCCCCATTATTTTCGGTGACTACTCCACCTCACTGGCAACTGATGAATTCCTTCGCGAAAGAAATTTGGCGGTTTTGACTCAATAAATTCCGCGACTTGAAATTCTCCGGAGTTTGCTCCTGTTCCACTTCTCTGAGGGCCCTAACAAATACCAAGAACTCTCAGCTCCATTGCAACAAAATCCAGGACCTTTTGAAGTCCCCCGCGGTCTCCCCTTAACTAAAAGAATCATTCTAGAGATATAAAACGTCATAAACCCCTCAGTCCGTGGTCTTTGAAGTAACGGCGCACAAATGACTGCCTCCAAACATACAAATAATCAACAAAACTCAAATAAATTGATAATTTCTCCATATTTTCTGGTCAATCTGTTTCGCACTTACGACGAATTTATTTCGGCAATTTAGACATTAAAAAATGAATTGAAAAAAAATAATAATGTAGAGGAATCTCCTCACTCACTCCGATGTCGTAAATTTGGGGAGAAATGGATCTGCTTTGTGTGTGAATCTCGATGATTTTTATTCAATGTTAAAAATTTGTAATTTTGAAGATGCCATTGTCAATTTTACGACTTCGGGGGTAATCGTAGACGCTTCAAAGCTTCATCAGTGTTAATATTTATATAGAGAAAAAAAAATTGAACGAGAGAAAAATTGAATAAAATGAAAAATGATGGAAATAGTAATTCGGGAATTGGAGCCATCGGCTTATGACGGCTCTACCGTTTCATTTCATTTAGAATTTCATAAATAAAAAACGAGATTTTATACATTCGTACGTATGTAATAATGTGTAACGATGTAATAGAATGAAAAATAAGATGAAAAATAACGGTGATAAATCGATGTTCTGCAAAACTTGTATATCTCTGATGTATGGATCTCGATGCGGATGGAACGAATATTCCTCTCCTTAAATCGCTGAATTTCCAAAGCCTCTGAAAATACGTTGACTATTGTCTCGTTGCTACTGATATTAACGTCAGTATTTACAAGTAAAATTTGTCATAAAACTCTTTCAAATAATGACAAATATGTGTTGAAGTGGTGAAACGTAATTCTCAATGTCAAATGTCGAATGTTCGTTGATTAGGAAAATATCCTACATTGAGAAGACAAGAGTTTTCTGAGAAGTGTATCTTTACTTGTATTGAGCAATTCATGGCTTGAAAATTACCAAGCGCACAATATCTCACAATATGAAAAAAAAATTCGTTCATATAAAAAAATGCATTCATATCAAGAAAACGAGTTCTCAAATAAATTCAAATGGTTTTTGCATTAAAATATTTTGGAATTGAGGCTAAAAACGATTAAATGAATTAATCAATTTTACTTGGCTTGAGAAATCGCCTTTTTGCCATCGAGAAATTGTCCTCGTCTTTAGGACAAGTACAAAATTTCTTGACGACAGTTTTTTTTTCTTAGTGCAAGATATTTTGCTCTTGAAACTTTTCGAGCCACAAATTTCTTGAGGTAAGTAAAGATGTATCTCTAAAAAAACTTTGTTTTTCTCAGTGTAGCAGGGGTTTTGGGTCGAAATGTTAAGAGAGGTTTTTGATCACAAATGAAAATTCGGGTCACAAGTAAAAAAGATATCGGTGGCGATTTTATATTGATTATTTCAAAGAAACATTTCGAAGAATCTTTTCATAGCCGAGGAAATTCGCCATTAAAATAGAGAGAATAATAATTAATTTATTACGG